GAGGCCGAGGGGCCGAGCCGCACCGAGCATGCGCGCCGGGGCCCGGCGGAGGCAGGGAAGGAAATCGAGCGCCGCGCCCCTACCCGGCGCCAGGCCCGGGGGCGCGAGCGGTGATCTTCACGTTGATCGTCGCCCCTTGGAATCCACGGCCGGGGTCACGATGGCCCCGAGCTAGTTGTCCATGGCGTCTTCATTAGCAATCGTGACAAGGCAGGATGGAACTCCGCTTGTTCTTCATCAGAATGCTAGTGAGAAAAGCATCATCACCATCATCACAGTGATAGAGGAAAATTCGCAATGGTGCTTAGTATTTACCAGGTGCTGTGCTAAGCACTTTACTTTTATAAATGTTACCTTTCTAGGAAACCCAGTGAAGTAAATACTGTTACGGTCTTTTTTAATTCTTCTCTTTACAGACGAGAAACCGAGGCACAGAGAGGTTAAGTGATATGCCCCAAATCACTCAGCTGGTAACTCTTAAAGCCAAGATTTGCATCCAGTCTGGATTTAGAGCATGTGCTCTCCACTACTGTGATTGATTGTAAATCAATCACACCCAGAAATATTTTACTAGAGCAAAAACAAAGCATACTGAAAAATAGTTCCCTTATTAGCAATAGTAATAGTTGTGGCAAGGATATTGTCTAATCAGTAATTGTATTTCTTGTATTTTAAAAATTGGGTGGTGGTTGGAGGGGAAAACTATTTATCAGTTCATGGAAAGGTATTTTGTCTACAAAGCCCACAACTGAATTTCCTCACTCTAGCAGATAAGAAAATCATGTTTCATTATTAATGGGTTTTGAATATAATTTTGCTAAAATTCACATATCAAAAAATAGCTTCTCTTGTAAATGCTAATAGCTTCCTCAATTCAAATTTCATATCAGTCTTTGAATTCGGAGCAATTTTCTTGTTTCTTCTCTGACTCATGAGATCGTAAGATAGAGTTAAGGTTGCAAGTTTGGAATATACATTTCAGAAGAAAAAGTGCTACATGATTTAAAGAATAAAGCACACATTGAATCTAGAATGCCCAATTGCCTTTTATCCTTGTTTCTCTGCACGCTGTGCACGGACAAAAGATGCAGTCCAGCTTGTGTGACTGCTTTTAAGATGTTGAACAAAATATTCTGATCAACAGACAGTGTGCTTGCGTTTCCTGGAACAGTCAAACAAGTGTACACATAATTGATTATGGAAAGTATTCCTAAAATAAGGGAGGTACCTACACATTTTTCCATACTGAGAATTCTCTGTTTCTTGAAGGATTCCTCATTGGATAGCCCGCTTTTGTAAATTATCTGCTGCGCTCTATTTTCTTTGGTTCTCCTAGCTGTTAGTTCTTTCTCTGACAGCTCAATTTTGAGTGCTATCTGAGGTTAACTAAATCAGTGAGGAATTATAAATAGAGGTGCAAAAATTAGGGCATCAAGAAAGACAAAAAAGTCAAACTTGTTGAAGGCAGTCGGGAGGAAACAAAGAGCAGAGCAGTGCCTTATGGGAATTGTCAAGAGTTTATCTAGGGAAGTACATATTTACTTTTTTGAAACTAATCAAAATTTTAAACATGGAATTCATCAGTCTTATAGGCATAGACAATATGACTGTGATCGTTTTGTGACATACTAACTAAACATAAAAATACTTGTGTCATTCCTGACCTGAGGTTTCTGTTTCTATTTCTGTTGGACATTATTTTTGACGGGCTTCCCACCTCTGCCTAGCCTAGTATGATAGATTTTGCCTCAAAAAAGGTACATATCAAAGTGAACAGCATAGATACGAAACATTACTTTATTCCTAAAAGGAAGAAAGGCCATGGTGAGTTAGTTTAAAATTGTCTCTTAAAAAATACAAAACAAAACATTTCCCCCCTCTTACTCTTTACTTGTTTTTCAGTTATAGAAACTTCTTCAGCCATATCATCTCTCCTTTCTTTGAGCTTGTGACATCAAATGATATTCTATAGCTTAAAATTTTAATTTAAATGTTACATTAAATGTAGTCTAAGTATTTGAATTTTAGATTTATATTTCACATTATCATGATAAAATTACAAAAATGTCAAATTTCTGAAATTATTGGAATCTGTAAGGGTATGGTAGCAATAAATGTTGTTTACTGTTAGTGGTTTTATTGGCACTATTTGACAAAGAATAAAATGTATATAACAATATTTTCAAAAATGTTGATACTGCTATGACTGTTATATCACTTAATATATTGGGGAAGGTTATTCGTCCTTGATGCACAGCCCTATGCCAGTGTACAGATAATTATCAAAGTCAAATGGAGACTTCTGCTTCCTGTCATGAGGGCGCAACTGCGATTGAACTTCCGCTCCTACTGTAAATAACTGGAAAACTAGACAAATTATATGAAATAACTTTTTTCAGATATTGGGAAACATAGGACTGTGATCCCTGAAAGAAGGGAGACGAGAGGAGAGCCCTGCAATTGCCCTGACATTCTGTCTGGAAGCACTGCCCAGTCTGCTGTGCAGGAAGGGGAAACCCAAGAAGATCCGGGAGATCTTGCTGAATTGAGGAGAGATAAGGGTTAGGAGAAGCTGAGGCCACCGAAAGCTGGGCAGAGTAGTTTTGCAGAGAAAGTCAGGTGATTAAAGTGCTCCAGAATTTTGCATAAACATTCTCCAGAGTCTGCTACTAATATTGAGTCCTGCATGCATCTGGTTAAAATACATAAGGCCACGCAAAGAACAATGAAGGAAATGTAAATTCAAAATTTCCAAGAATTCAAACAGGACTAGGTGAATTTCAAGTTTGGAACAGTCAGAAAGTAAAATCCTCATGGAACACTTATGAGTCTGTACATTCAGCAGAGATCCAAGAAGAGTCACAGTCTGAATAGTTAGGCTAAACTTGCCCTAGGGAAAAAGCGAATTCATGCTTGCCCACACAAAGTTTTCAAGAAGCCTTCAAAGGATCAAGGTGCTCTGCAAGCAACTTGACTGCCTGCCAGAAACATCCAGGCCTCAACAATGTGAAATTCATATTGTCTAGCATCTAACAAAATTTATGAAAGAAAGGCTAGGATTAGCTGGGACTGTCCAGCATGCCTACATGTGAACTCTCCATGTGGTGCTGGCATCCTCAAAGAGCAGTAGCTATAGGCTCTAAGACTGAGTTTTCTAGTGAAAAAGGCAGAAACTTCATGGCCTTTTTCCAGCATTGGAAGTTACATCATATCATTTTCATTGTCAAAGCAAGCACAAGTCTTTTTTTTTTTTGATGAGGAAGATTAGCCCTGAGCTAACATCCATTGCCAATCCTCCTCTTTTTCCTGAGGAAGATTGGCCCTGGGCTAACATCCGTGCCCATCTTCCTCTACTTTATATGTGGGACGTCTGCCACACCATGGCTTGATAAGCAGTGTGTAGGTCCACGCCCGGGATCCGAAACTTCGAATCCAGGGCCTCCGAAGCGGAGCGTGCAAACTTAACCACTATGCGACCAGGCCAGCCCCAAGCACAACTCTTTTTAACTTCAAGGTGGGCTGGGGGTGAGGGTAGAGTGCAAAACACAGACATCACCTCTTAATAAGAGGTGTCCCTAAGTATTTGTGGCTAAATTTTTAAATAGCCACAGTCTTTCCCTTGACAACAAATTTTCTTTTCTCGCACATGAAATATACGCTATTCCCTCCCAATGCAAACAAAAATCTCATGCCAATAGAGGAACAGTCTAGAGTTTCTTACCCAGGAACTTGAAGGCTAAATGAGATCTGGGCACAGAGGGCTCCTTGGGTCCTTTGCTTTGTTACACTTACTCTTGATCTGAAGCCGTGTGAAGGAAAGAAACAAGGTTTCTGGCTCCCAGACTCTTGAGGCATAGGAATAATGCAGTAGACACTTCCATTCAAGAAGTAGGCAAATGGGATGCACACAGCAGTCAATGGTCAATAGTAAATATGAGATCTACCCAGGGAAAGTCCTTAGATCTTTGATTTGAACCCAGTTTTCCTCTCTGGGAAATGGAGGAAGATTTATTTATTTTTTGTCCTTCAAAAACATGGATTAAATATTACAAATTGATTTGTTTGCGTTTGCTGGTTTGTATATTAAAAGATAAAAGACCCCAGACACCAAGTATTGTTAGGCATTGTTAATTTTTGTCTTGATGATATAATACTTGATTAGACTATTAATTATAGAGTATTAATTATACTATGGTACTTCAAGGAATTAACATTTCATCAACACCTTTACAGTGGAACCAAGAGAGGAATGGAAGGCTCAGCATCTGAGTATCCTATGTAAAGAATTGCCACACATTGGGCAAAGTGTCTTTAAAATGCTATGTTGATTTTGTTATAAGAAACATTTGATTAAAAAAAATCAATAGAAGCCTCCACTATAATTTAAATATTATATGTTAAATCAATACTAATAATTAGTTCTTTCCATTAGCTATGCAATTTACCATTTTGATGTCTGTATTTTATAACATTATTTATTTGACTGGCTTAGCTAACAACTCTTTGTGTCTTTTTAAAACATAATTTCCCAAGAGAGATGAACTGACATTGATTCTTTGTTATGTTAAAATAGTAAAGCACATACAGTAGGAATTTTATAATCTAGACATTGCCTCATCTTTCAATATTTTTCTATCTCAATTATATACCTCTACAATACAAAACCTTTGAATAATTCAAGTTTGGATAATTCAGGTAATTGAATTGAACCTTCCAATGCTAGAATTCAATAGCATTTGAAGACGCAAAGTATGTTGGAAAAGAACTATTTCAAAAGATCAGACCCAAGTCACTTTAAATCAATGTTTATGATTAGTAGTCATGATTGACTGAGATCACCAAATACTTGGC